CCAAGTTGTTGATGAACCTCATAATTTTATTAAGGGCCTGTAATAAATTTTCTACTCATATTATTAGTTTAACAAACAAATTATTTTTACCTTTTTTGATGACATTTCTATGTGGAGTATTGTGTTTTTTATTGACCTTTAAAAATAAATTTCAATTATATATCGATATCGAAATGTAATGCTTATTTATTTATAATTTAAGTCGGCTTGATTATTTTTGTTTAACCTTTAATACTTTAGTTATTCATCTTTCAGTTGGTTTAATTTTGTATATGATTTATCAATAACAAGAATGTTATCACGTTGTATTTTTGTCTACTTAACCCAATTTGCATTAATAGATGATAATAAAAAATGATCTTAATAATAAATATTGTAAATGTATTCAAAAAAACCAATCTTTTAAGGTCTAAATGTAATTTCATATATTATTGCTCATCATCTACTACTCCTAAGCCTCTTAATTGTGGATTAACAGTTATTACTTACTATATTAATGACTCTTCTGCTCTGATAATTTTGTAATTATTTACTACCTGTTTTATCAAACAATCATTTTCTGCAATAATTTTATTTTACAAAGGAATACTTTTCCCTCAACCTCTTCTCGCTCACTGCTCACTGACTTTTTTTACCTCATTTCTTGCTTTTGCATGGGTTGTAAATACAGCCTCTTGTTCAAAATTACCTAAATTATATTCAAAAAATGTATCATCTTATCTTAGTTGTTGTCTTATATTAATTTTGTCAATTATTACTCTTGGTTTTGTATCGAAAATAATCATTAGTATAGTTTCAATAAACCCATGATTTTTATTTAAAATAATATTTCTAACATTTAAATAATCCTAATTTAGAGAATTGTAATATCAGAAATAAGATTTTTTGATATTGTAGTTTTGCCTTGAACCATTAATAAAAACTATAGTATTGTAAACAGTGTTAAAATATTTTGGAAAATTAAGAGAAATAAACCGAAATACTTTAAAAAAAGCTTTTCAGCAGAAGATCTAGTATTGTGTTTATTATTATTTTGTAATGGATAAATAGTTTTTGCATTCTTAGAGTTTATTTTGATCCATATCTCAAAAATAATAACTCAAGCATAATTAAAAATTATATACTCTCTATTATAGTATAAATATGCTTTTAGAGATAAAGAAAAGAAAAGAAAAAAATTAACCAATACTATTATTCCAAATTTTATAGTATTTCAACAGTAAGACTTATATACACTGGTTATAAATTATATTTAATAATAATAGAATTTTTACAGTCAAAAAATAAATTTAATGAAAATATACCAAAAAAAAACTTGATGTAATAAAATAAACTCGATTTAAATTATTTTCACTATCATCAATTTGAGTGATTTTTTGCGTGCTTAGGGGATTTGAATCCTAATTAATGAATAAATGAGATAATTTAACAATGTAAATATATATATATTAGAAATAGATATTTATTTTAATAATTATGCTCAAATTAATCAGCCATTCTAGGTTCAGAGTTGTACTATCAATACTCTTCTTGACTAAATAGGCTAAATTTTCTTTGCTAGAATGATGTAAAAACAGAAGGATTCCTTTTTCGTTAAAACAATAGTAAGATTAATAATAGGAACTATTATCGGTTTCAATGTAGCTGGACATATAAGTTGTTTCTGCCTTAGGATCATTTATTTTAATTACATAAACAAGCATTTTTGATTTTTCTCAAAATAAAGTTAGATCAAGTATAGCACTATTGATGCACTAAAAGTTGATCATTAAAGGTAATTATTGTTATTAAGAATAAATTAATCTAATTCTTTTAAGTTAAATTTGGATTCTAAAATATTTATAACTTTTCAAATTCAATTTCATTATTAAATTTTATTTTTTCAAAAGTATTTATTAGAATCAGTACTTAACTCATTATTAAACTAATTATAAAATAGAATTTCTGTATTTTAATTTATAATATTTGCTCTTCTTAAGGGTTCAAAGTTAAATATAAATTTGAAAATGAAGATTACTTAATTAAGGAGTTATGTTAATTAATAGAACGATAGTTAAATGTTAATTCAAATTCAATTTTTTGAATGCTCATTTTTCCTACAAAATTTAAAAAAAGATTTTAGCCTTATATATAGACTTCTAAAGAAAAAAAAAGCTAAGTACAACTATTTTATTTTGATTATTTTTATCAGAGAGTAGAACTATTATATTTGGTGCTTGAATAAAAGTGCAAAGGCTTAAAGAGTTTTCTTAATTAATACAATAAAGAAATCTTCTTCAATAGAATTAACAAAACAACCGTCTCCTCCATAATTATTTCCATCATCACACTATTTAAAATTACGATTTAGCCTTCCATTTTTGAATAAGATAACAAATTTATTCATGATAAATGCTTAATTCTGATTATACTCTATAATAAATAAACCATCATCATTAAATTCCTGTTCTAGTTCAGAATTTATAATTTATTTTAGCTCTTAGCATTCATTAGTGTGAATTTCTAAAATATAATATTTATCATCGCATTATACACAACTTTAGTAAATTCCTTAAAAACTATTTTATAAACATAAATTATATCAAAATAATAGCCATTTACACAACTAATTCATACAATTTTTAAAGATTATAAGCAATATTAAGGATGAACATATCTGTAATTAAAGTAGTATTTTTTATTTAATTTGCCTTATTCCTCTTATGTAAGAACACCATCACCACACTTAGATTAACATTTTTGATATTCGTTCAAATATTATCAATATAAAAACACGATCCAAGAAATTTGAATTCAATTCCACTTTCTACTTTAAACCCATTGAAAATGACTATCGTAAATTTTAACTTTTAATCAATATACCATTCGATTTTCTATTAAAATATATGTCATAATTCATTAACTTAGCTTAAATATTCCATAAACAGAGATTATCTAACTGGAATAAGTATAATTGTACACAACAATTAGAATTATCAACTAAATTTAGGTCCTAGATTTTAGTCCATAATAAAAAATCCCTACAACTATTTGGTAAAAATTTCTAAACTTAATATTTGAATTTATACACATACAAGCATTGCTAAATTCATTAAAGTACAATCGTTAAATCGAATCACTTTTTTATCTAAAACCAATATTTTTAATATAGAAAAAATCTAATGGATATGGAGGAAAAATTGTTTTTATTTATTTTCCAAAGTAACATGTTATTCAATAATTTTATTTAGTACATAAATTTCATGAAGGATAACAAATTATATCCTAATTCATAGAATATATGATTCTAATTTAAAACTATTCTTTATTTCACTAAGAGTTATACCCTTAAAATTTGCCTTTAATTTTTTATGATAATTCATAAAAAACAGATATATATATATTTGCCCTGTTTTTAAATTTTTTTCTGATCCTTTACATCAAACAAAGTGGATTTTTCATTTTTTTAGCGGATTTTATAATTTCTGATTAGAAACTGAATAAAAAGGCTAAAAATTTTATTATAATTGAATAAATGCTTTCTATTCACTTTTCTTATTTGAAACCAATCTAATGTTTTCCTATATGAATAAGTTGTCTCCCACTTTGATATATTTAAATTAATTTACTCATTAAAGTTTCTATCCAAATCAAACCAAAACCCTTATGTAATTCCAAATTAATCAAAATAGCCTGCTCCGCTTATTCATATCAATTTTAACTCCTTACATAAAATTTTATTTTTAAACAAATTAGTATTTACTCGATAGTCCCTATTTTATACCTTTGTAATATTCTCCAAAATAAGCCACTTATGATTTGCTAAAATAATTTTTTTATTTATCTGCTCCAAAAAATTTTAAAAAAATTCTATCCATTCACCAGTTTTTAAACCTTCATTGTTATAAAATCCTTCCAACTTACAAAATTTAACCTCTCCATGAAGCATACCATTTTCCAACTTTTCTTTGGTGAACATATGATCCATGCCATCTTAAATGGTTAGCTTATTTAAATTTCTTGTGTTTTAGAGAGCATTATTTTTATCTCTAATAATAATAATAATTGAAAAAAATTTACTAATAGAGAATGTAACTATTCTATAAATATATAATAGTTTCATCTTCTTATGTTTTTACGCTAAATTTTGTAATTAAAATAATCATTAATTTAAAATGCAGAAACCTTCCAATTTATTGCACCAATCATATTAATTATTAAATTAATTATGTTTAACAAAAAAAGGATAGCCTATAAAAAAGTTATTCGGGTATAGGAGCCAGACTATTTCTTTTTAATTCAATATCATGAATAAAATAAAGTCTAAATTCTGCAGCATACTTTTTCTTCCTCTAAAATCTCAACTCACTAATTTTCAAAGATGTTCTTTAATTACAAATTCATTTAGTAAATTTGATTTTATCTCAAGTTTTGTATTTATGAAGGAAGAAAATATATTTTTATTTAAAAATTCCAAAAATTTGAAGTAGGCACTTTTGAATTAATAATTCCAAATATTCATTAAGAACTCATATGAAAATAATGCTTTTTATAATTTAAATCTTGATTATATATTTTAATT